AGAGCAAGTTATTTTATATGTATAGATGAACAAAGCAATGAGAAAAAAAACTTACGTTAAGATCCTCAAACTAGGAAATCCACGAGCTAAAATAGCGAAGAAACTCTGTTTGAAACTTCTAAAAGGGCAAAAGGAAGTATAGATTGTCAACAATTTAAAGTTTAAGTTAGAAAGTCCACTCGAGTTGTATATTAGAGTTATTTTGAGACTTAACGGAGTGGACTTGAAAGGCTAACTTTAGAAATACGATCTTTTAAACTGTACAGTTATGAGGTGAACATTGAATTGCATTTATTTATATTCTGAAAGGAAGTCTGTAGGGAACTTCAAAACTATTCCTATACAAAGCATTACATATTACATTAAATATAACGTGTATTGATATACAAAGGGATGTCAGACTGTGGGCACATATTCTGACATGTGTCTGTCATGATACCGTCGTGGCAGAACTCTTCACTCCTTATCAAAATTCTCCTGTTGGATCCGAAATTATTTAAACATCCCTATACATATGGTCCGTGTGGTGACGGATTAAGAATACAGAGTGTCACCACCCCTATTCATCCCGTGGGCGTCGTAAGAGCCGACTAAGGGAAAAACTACGCAGAACATCAGCACTGCAGAGAGAAGGAAAACTTGACACAAACCCTATATCAACCCGTCTGGCCAGGGTGGTATAGTAGGCCAACCTCCTTTCTAAGGCTCTCCTTAGAAAGGAGGCTTATGTCCAGCAGTGGCCTGTTAAAGGCTGTTTATGATACATATGGTTACAATTTAAACTTGGTACTAAATACTCTTACATGTGCATTTCGTGTCATATCGAAATACGAATTCACACTCTCACACTCATGTAAACTCATGCAATAACCTTTTTTTTTTTTTTTTTTTTTTAAAAGACAAGTCCTGCATTAGGAATATATATCCTGTGTCGCGGGGGACTTACAAACATACATGAAACGGACACAAAGAACACCCAGACTCAGAACAACAATTTGTGGATCACACAAAGTGTCGTCCCATGTGGGGTTGGAACCCACAACACTCGGCGTAGTAGGAAGCGGCGTGGCGACCGCTTAAACCACTACGCCATTGGTACAGATTAAATTAAGAAACTGGCGGTTTTGATTTTTTATAATTTTGATTTAGTCGATGTCAAACCTCAAACGCCAAAATCCAGTCAATGGCGCAGTGAAATAAAAATAATAATAATTGAAATAAAAAATAAGTTTTCTTTTTAAATAGTTTCAAAAATGAGAATAAAGGCGGGCATTTGACTGGCAGGGCTTTTAATAATGGCAATATAATAATAATTACAGTGTAAGTGATCAACAACCCTAAATGATAAGTTGATAGCGAGGCCTAGGTGAGGATTAACTGTCGTAACTAGATTAGTTTTGTGCCGTTATTAATAAAAAAGGGTTTACGGGGATAGATAGTAACAAATAGGTCTGATAACATTAAATAGAAATAGGTTTGGTATATGCTTCATATATTTTCATGCTAATATAGGCATGAAGAAATCCTTCAAATTTCTATAATTTATATTCTGGTTGAGCTTGTTTTATTTTTAAGGACGAGGTTATCAATTCGGAAGTTTATATTTTTTTAATGTAAATTCGGACATAACTCTGTCATATGTAGAGGGATTTTCAAAATTCTTTTTTTGTCCGAAAGAGGTTTATTCGAAATGGTCCCATTTAAATTTCATATAGATCTGATGATTAATTTCTGAGACAGGCAACGGAACTCTTCAAAAACTTACAGCAAACCAATCGAGATTACTGCTAGGTTTTCGTGCTCTTTGTTAGTATTGTTTGAAGTCGGTTCAACTTTTTTTTAGAAAGCATTTATAATTATGTTAAAGGAGGCAAACAAGCAGACGGGTACCTGATGGTAAGTGACTACCACCGCCCATGGACACATCCAACTCCAAAGTCACAAATGCTACCCTTTGAGTCTCCCCCTCAGAAATATAGAGAGGGGGGGAGGGGGGTTCGCTTCCGGTACTTCCGGTGACCGGCCTTACTAGAAATTGGTCATAACTTTTTGCAATGTAACATATTGCGTTGACACAAAAATAAGCAATTAAAACGATGATGATGTAATGTCAATGGAATACCACTGACATTGACGGAGACAAAGTAATATTTGTCTCAATGAATTCAATATACTTATTCGATTACCTAAAAGGGTATCGTTAGACAGGCGACCGGCCATACCAGAAATTGGCTATAACTTTTTTTGCCGATTTTGCCGACCTAATAAAATGGAGAGAGGGTCAATAAAATGATGATGATGTAATGGAAATGGGTGCAATTTGAGTAAACTACGAAGGACAACAGCACTGCAAAGAGAAAGATAACTTGAAACAAACCCTTTTCTTTGCTTCTGGAAACCCCCTCGGGCCGTCAACCCCCCCCCCCCCCCCCCCCCCCGGGGTTGGCGGAGGAGTGGTGTGTCGGAATCGGAGCGTGCGAAAATCACACGGTGTGTCACTCTGCGCCTGTAATAGGAGGGATCCGGGAACTGCTGTTATTAAGACATCCGGACCCCTCCTAGCGCTTGCCCGCAGCGGCGCGGGCACAACTTTCGGGTACATTCTCTATTTAGGCGACGTCCGGCACACGCGGACGTCGCCTCCTCGCAGCTGGTCGTTATGGCGGGTGGAGGGGAAAACCCGTCTCGTTCACCCGCGGCCACACTCAGGGCAGCATGAGGCGCTGTTAAAGATCAAAATCAATGTAAAGACAATTAGTTTAGGTTATTTCATGCCTAAACTACTAATTCCATTTTAAAAATTATTTTACCAAAGGAAAGCTTTTCAGCGAGGAACATAGGCTACTGTGTTTCGCGATAGCCGATATACATGCAGGCGGAGCCACGGGCAAAAGCTAGTTCATGAATGAATCATTAAAGAAATTCTAAGTATACTATACTGCGGTATTTCCAGACCGATACAACCTCCAAACCTTCAAGAAAAGAGCGTATTTCTTTTTCAAAGGCCGGCAACGCACTTGTGACTTCTTGGCAAGGCGTCTGTTGCTTGTTGGCCCCCTCTTCCATAAAAAAAACGGCTGAGGGGTATATGGACCCCCGGTTGGAACGAAGTTCCGCAAGAAGTGTCTCGCTCAGAACGTGGAACGCGCGATAAGGAACCAAAAAAAGGTTAGAACAGTTAATTTATGAGATGCATAGAGAGTACTTCATTTCCCTGTAGCCATAATCGCAATCTCCTCATTTATCGGATATTCTCTCACCAGTACAATTTCTTTTTTAATTAACTACGGACGGACATTGAATTGCATTTATTTATATTCTGAAAGGAAGTCTGTAGGGAACTTCAAAACTATTCCTATACAAAGCATTACATATTACATTAAATATTTTAGTAACGTGTATTGATATACAAAGGGATGTCAGATTGTGTGCACATAGTCTGACATGTGTCTGTCATGACACCGTCGTGGCAGAACTCTTCACTCCTTAACAAAATTCTATACTATACATATGGTCCGTGTGGTGACGGATTAAGAATACAGAGTGTCACCACTCCTATTCATCCCGTGGGTGTCGTAAGAGCCGACTAAGGAAAAAAACTACGCAGAACACCAGCACTGCAGAGAGAAGGAAAACTTGACACCAACCCTATATCAACCCGTCTGGCCAGCATGGTATAGTAGGCCAAAACCTCCATTCTTAGGAGAGGCCTATGACCAGCAGTGGACCACTAAAGGCTGTTGATGTGATGATGATGTGTTAGGCAAGAGTTGGCTGTCAGATGCAAGGCGCGGTCGCAGCCTGTGATTTTGGAGGGAGTCACTAATAAGTTTTTGTGTATTTTATTTTATTTACTTCGGAATACCAACAGCACAAATAACGTAAGGTAAAACGTTATAATAAAGTAACAACGAAGCTATTCCCAGGTATTCGCAAATAGATTCCAAGTGTAAAATAACAGTTCAAATAACTTACCGACAACATTAAAAAAAACTTATTAGGAATCTTATTTTTGGCAACAAAAGAAAAACTTAGACTAAGAAAATGTCACACTGCTAATATTAGGCTTAAAAATTTTTTTTGAACCAAGTATTTTTTGACATGTGGAGGTGATCTGAAGAGCTCAAACTCGCTACTTAATTTATGCATATCGTATGGTATAGGATGTCAAACGAGCAGACTGGTTACCTGATGGTCATGCAATTCTGCCGGTTTTTCTACATTTCAGTAGTCCGGTAAGCATTAATTCCACTTAAGATATAGGATAGGATAGAATTATCGCAACATAGTATTTACGTAATTGTATTAGGAATTTCTTTTTTTTTATGAGGCATATTCCTTCAAGACTTAAGGAAAGGCGTAAAATTAAAAAAAAAACTTACTAATTTACACGGTTGGTATGCAGAGGGTAAGAGGTGGAGGTAAGGGTCAGGGAATGGATGATGATAACCAACACAGATGAGTTTTAAAAATAACAATTTCATGTTTTATAACGGGACCATAATGTAAGAAAGAATTTATGAATCCAATCTATTCGTCCATACATAACCCAGAGTTTGCCATTTCATAAAATACTTTTAAATTTTAAGTATTAAACAGAATTATTAATGAGTCTCTCGCATAACTCAGTCAGTACTTTTTTTTTCTAATTTCCGTATTTGATATTATACTTAAAATACATACGAAGGAAAAAAGTGAAGTTTTAGAAGAATATAGAATATACTTCCTTTAGACTTTTTTTGTGCAAAAATTCCGCAAGAGCGTATTTTATTAAATCTTTTAATTAGAAATGGAAAACAAACAACAATTAAGTAAAGGTATTTTTATTTTATTTTTTATTATGGTAAAGGTAATTTTATATTTAGAGTATATAATTTCACGTAATAATTCATAATAAATGATTAAAAATAAATAGAAACTAAACTAAACTAAACTAAACTAAACATAGTTTTCAATCACATGTTAGAATGTGATTGAAAACTTTTTAATTAGCTACTTACTTGGCTCTCAAGCACAGTTGACGGTCGTTTGGACACACATATTTATTGCCTTTACTTTGATAATTCATCGCACGGTTGTAAAGAAAAAGAAAAAATACTTTTTAAATTTGTTGACGCGGGAAATAGGCGAGTCGCGCGCGTTCGCGCCTGTTGATTCCGTCCAACTGTTGCTTCGCGCGTGGCGGCTCCTAATAATCGATATTTTAACAACGCTCTTGTAAACTAACAATATGTTACGAGGGACAATCTTTATCAGTGATAAACATAACAATTTTACTACACTGGGTACATACTGCTTCATATGCTCCATTTTTACTGGTATTACTAAAATGACATATTTATTTTACGGGCATATATTATTATAAGGACGTTTAACTATTCTTAAGTCAGTAAGCAATTGCCCTTCCAATCGACTCTTCTATAAAATATTTTTTTAAACAAGGGTGTGCATGCTAGAAAATTAGCAACATTTTTAATTACAATAGATTTTGATTCTACTAACATAAATTAATTCAAATGTGGCGGACGGATATGACGTTATCAATAAACAGATACAATGTGACATAACATTGACAACTTGGCGCAAATGTGATCCTATGGTTAAAAGGTGATTAAAAAAAAAAAATTAAACCAAAACAATTCCCAGCTAATAATTTAAAAAAGAGGTGTAGAAACTTGGTATGAATACGTGTTTCAAATTTAATTTACACACACACAGCAAAAGATGCTTCTTAAAGCAAGATTTTATTTATTTTAAGCAAGACATTTAAAATAAACAAAATCTTGTAAGTTTCTAATGTATTTTAATTAATTAAACGTAATTCCTATTGTTCACAATAAATAAAACGAAACATTCTTAAGCATCTATAATACATTAACTAGAATTTCTTTTGTCAAATCGGAATCTTATTTGTGATTCAGTGTATCCGAACATCAGCTGAAACATGTTTATCATTCTATCTCTGTTTTTACTAGTGATGCCCAATAAGCTGTTACGGTGGTTATAACGTTAAATAAATATATAATTAATGAAAAAAACTATATTCTCACTGCTACAAAAAGTCTCTAAAGTCCATCATCGCATACCGCTTTACTAAAATATAAATGTTTAATATTGCTAGTTTTTTTTGTGCGTTCTTTATTTCAAATTATTAGTTACACTTTACAGTAAAAAGTTTGAAAGGAAGTATTAAAATAATAACAATTGACGAACTAGACGATATCACTCCAGTACTATGGAATTGGATATCCCTATTGAAATATGACCATATTTTTAATACGTAGTAAAAATTTAAGTTTATAATCAAACTAGCCAATGTGACAAAAGATCAAAACACAACCACCAAACTTAATTTTTTTTAAAGAAATGAAGATTTTTAAAAGAGAACGGCAGATCCTGTACCCCTAGTAACATATGAATGATGATTATGGAATTTGTAGTTTGTAAAGAGAGTGACACTGACTATTTTTATCTAATAATCATATTTTTAGAACTTTGCCAAATGTAACAAATGCATCTCAAAGAATGGTTACAACTGCAATAACTTAACGTTGCAATTAAGTGTTGTTAACAAAACGCATTAGTGCGTTTTATAAACTTGCCATGCATAAAATATAAATTGTATAAAAACGATATGTTTACGTCGAGACTAATGAATGAGCTCAATAGTGTATTTAGCAATTAAACCAAACATTTCTATATTAATAATGTTGACTGAACAGCTTAGACGAATTAACAAAGGAATGATTCATCATCATCAACAGCCTTTAATAGTCCACTGCTGGACATAAGCCTCTCCTTAGAAAGGAGGTTATTATGGAATGATTATTTTAAATCAATTAATTTAAGGAAAGGTACTAATAACGTTATTCAAATCGTGAACATTTTGAAAAAAAAAAACTGATTTCACAGGACATCATTTTTATGACGGATCCAAATATCATAAACTATTGATTTTGAAAGATATTCTTTTTGATATCTTTTTGACTTACAATGACAACTCATTTGTGACAGCCAGCTGTTATTGGTATTGACTTCAGTGCAGCCTATATGCAAACTACACACTGAAATACTTTTTGAACGCAAAGTTCTAAAAATCCAGTTTCAAACTAAGCAGATCTTGTACTATGAAAGCTAGATTGACGGATAGAATACCTTTATACTTTTTTTTTTGTAAATACTCACATATTATACGTAGAAAATACCCAAACTCCGAAACAAATATTTCCAGAGCATACAAATATTTGGTCCAAACTGAAAATCGAACTCGAGACCTCTGAACAGTAGTCGCATACACAACCACTGGGCCACCGAGGCAGTCAAATAAATTAAAATAATTAATACAAATTTATTACACATAATTTTATGATATAAGTGAAATACGATGTAAACTTACACCATTTTATTTTCGTTCAGTTATAATTTAAAAATAGCTCACATTTGAAAGTGTCTGATGCAATGGCAAATAACGAATAACGTTATCGTTAACTCAACCCATACTTCTGATGTGGCACATCCCTACCTTACAAAATTTGACATTTCACTTTTTCAGTTATGATGGCGCACTTGCGAAAGGTGTTTAGTTTAGTGTAACATTTATTTTTATGTTGTGCCGCGAAGTGAAAACCTAGTGATATTAAATGCCGTACCGCAGGCGTTTCTCAGCCAAGATGGCAGATTTCGACGACGAAGTCACCGTCGTCGATGTTTATGATTTAGCTTCGGACATTGGCAAGGAATGTGAGATAATTATCGAAAAATACGGCCCTGACGCCGTTACAGCTCTCCTGCCGAAGGTGATTAATGCGCTAGAGTTGCTCGAAAACCTAGCAGTGAGGAATGAGAAAGAAAACCAGGCGTTGCAAGAGCTGACCGCAAAGATTTCTCAGCTAGAGAACGACAAGATTGAAAAGGCTGAATACAGGCAACGCTTCGAGAAGGTAGGTGGTAGAGGTCATTGTTAGGCAAATAGGAATTATTCGTTGCTGCGGAGTTCGTGTTGTGCACTGTACATACGAAATGCTCATTATTTCAACATTGCAAATGCATCGGCTCTGTTGCAACAAAACTACGAATGAATGATGATATTGCGCTACAAACTACACTTCGTTGTAGTCATTCACACAAATTGTTAGAACTGGCCTGTATTATATCCATTTTTTTTTTATAACTACTAAGAGTTTTAAATTTCGAATTGGATGTAGGAACTTAAACCTTGTTTAGTCTATTGCTATTGGCTCTAGACGTTAAGTAACACAGTGTATAAAAACTAAACAAAAAAGTTTGCATCTTGGTTGATTGGTGGGAATATTTTGCCGCTAGACAGTGCATTATCACAATAATACTAATGATGTAATAACCTCTTACTGAGTTATCTGGTTTCATTAATCAAATATATAATTTAGTACACAAATTTGATATTTAAACAATCCTTAGTTATTATGAAGGTGCTTAGTATGTTAATAGTGTGTGTAACAAGCTTGTGGTATGGATTAATTGATCTTTTTATTGGCCATTTCATGACAGCATTTTCTATTATTGTCAGTTAAATAGTTGCTTAAAGGTATTTACAGTCATCAATGACTATGGAACGTCATTTCTTAATATAATGTTAATAAATACACATTTTATTTTTCTTATACTCAAGGAAACAAAAATGAAATCTGTTTATTTAAACAATTACAAAATTGTGTAGATATAGCCCTATAAAAATTCTCTTAATAGATTTATAATTAAAATTATTTCAAGCCAATAAATTGATTCTAAATTTATTTTTTTATTTGATTTACTTTTTAATTTTTAATGGCATTATTTTGCATGATGTAACACTTCCTTTTTGTATTGATATTTATGATTTATGAATATATTGTACTAAAAGTAGGTTGTGGGATAATTTGTAATACATCAACTCAGTATCTTTGAAACAGTAGGTATCCACATCTACATATCCGCACTGGTGATTTGATACAAATTGAACCCCCTCCCCCCCCTCACCTGTGATATATCTCTGTGTGGACGGGCCCTAAGTAAAGAATCTTAACAAAAGAAATCAACTTTAAGATGTACAATCAACTTGAAATTTGCACACAAATCAAGGATCGAAAACCCAAAAATACACCAATCTTCAGTTATCATTATGTTAAAAATATTTCCTTCCTATAAATAAATTGATTATAATATTATAGTACAAACAAAACAAAAGCATGAAGTCATAACAAATGTGTTGATGACTAGTAGTCATGTGATGTTTTTAGAAAACAAAATGAGTTGTACTTTTACGCTAGTAAATTGGCATGAACAAGGCTAAGTATTTTTTCTTTTTTTTTTTATGGAATAGAGGGCAAACGAGCAGACGAGTCACCTGATGGAAAGCAATTACCACCGCCCATGCCCCTGCAACTCAGGAGTCACAAGCGCTTTGCCGGCATTTTAGGAAAGACATATAATTCTTAGTTAACAAGTCTGTTTCTTCCTATAAATTAATACTGTTTTACTTAATTCGATTATTTATAATCGATTCCACAAATCATGTTTTAATATAAATCGCTACTAGCAACATTACATTTTAATCAAGAACTCAAAAATGCTCCCGCAGCGGACAAAATACTTTTAATTAAAAGACATAAAGGTCCGGTCCCAACAAAACCGAATAATTATTTAAAATTTACCCATAATTAATAACAAAAGTGTTAATTTGCGAGCTTCCTGTCAACGCCAAGCCAGGAACGGATGTCCTTTTTGTATTACACAAATGTTGTCCCATGTGGGATCGAACCCACAACACTCAGCGCGCAGTGACCGCTTAAACTACTACGCCATCCGTACAGTCAAATAGTTTATTTGTCTATACTTTGAAGAGTTTTTTCCTAACAAAATGTTTATTTAAATTTTTACTTGACACATTATACACATGACTATGTGTTACCCTAATTAGGAATGTCTTGTGATAACCAGACCACTTTTAAATATACTTTTATATCTCTAAATATATATATCTCGCTTTTTCACTGATGATGGAAAGTTCTTTGGTGATCCTGTCATTCGGTCAGGACAACTGCAATCAGATCTGGACAATTTACAAGAGTGGACCAAAGAGTGGATTGCGAAGCTCAATGCATCCAAATGTACAGTATTGCGTCTGGGTAAGAACAACCCTGAAGTACCATACACAATAGGTGACACAATAGTTGCATCTGTCAAGTCGCAAAAAGATCTTGGAGTAATGATAACCAGCAACCTAAAATGGGCTGACCACATCAATATTATAGTTAAAAAGGCAAATTCCTTCCTATATGCTATACGACGTGCATTCAAACACATGACACCTTCAGTTTTCACCAAAATTTATAAAACTTATGTCAGGCCTCTGTTAGAATATGGTTTTCAAATTTGGAATCCCTATCTTGTAAAGGACGTTGACCTGCTGGAAAGTGTGCAAAGGCGAGCAACTAGGATACCGTATGGACTGCGACATAAGGCTAACGAGGAACGCTTAAAAGTGTTAAAATTACCGACATTAAAACATCGCAGGATGAGAGGCGATCTTATTGAAACCTATAAAATACTAAGCTCAAGATATAATCTTCCAAATATCAAGGATATGTTCCTCCTCCAGCGCAAGGCGTACTCATCACGGGGACACAGCTTCGCAATAGATCGCTCACACTCACAGTCGCTGGTAGCCTATCACACTTTGAACAATCGTGTTGTTCCGATATGGAACAAGCTTCCGGAAAATGTTGTGACCGTAAAGTCAGTGAACAGTTTTAAGTGCCAACTAGATATATGGTTAGAAAAGCACAACCCATTGGACTAAACAACCGTTTAATCATGTACATGGGAACTCTTACATCACAAACTTACTCCAGTGCAGTGATGTGGACACATCAGCAAGTTTGCTGCTCGTCCATAATACCCTAATAATAATAATAATAAATACATACATATTTATGGATAACTTACACACACACAAAACAATTCATTGTGTTCATATACATATAGCCCACTCTGGCTCAGCTCTAACTCAGCAGTTAGTACCACTTACCCCTGGTCAAACAGGCCATTCGAATTTGTCATACAATTAGATCGTAGAAACAGAGAGAGACCTAGGTGGGTTCTCTGGTCTATATAACAAGATATTTCCTGTGTCGTATGTGTGACCGTACCTGCTTGAAGCTTAGAAATTTATTGTGACCTTGAGTTGAAGTGGTTTCGCGAATCAATTTTCCAAATACTTAGTGAACAGGTACGGTACTGTAGGCTGCATACCTACAACATTTTAGAGTTGTCGACCCTATCATATCAACAATGGAGCTTTGTAAACTAATTCCCTACTCACTAACTGAAAATCACCACGCACGACGAACTAACAGCGGTCCTTTCTTGTTTGGAAGTACAACACTAGTCTTTCAGCTATAATTATTGAAGATATCACCCGTTGTATCGATTATTGACTTCAGAGAGACACTGTTATAAGCATAACCTTATAAATAAATCGATGTTTTTGCGTCGATGTGCAAAAAATGATAGATATTATCGTTAATATATATATGTTTTTAATTTATTATATAATTAAGAGAAAGCAAGTTGTAATGAAATGTTGCCATTGTATAATCTTGTTATGAATGCTTCTGCGAAATGCCATTAATCAATATGAATAATTTCTATCGATTATTCAATAATACAATTAATTACGTATCAATATTTTCATTAAATACCTACATAACTTGTATTTAAATAGATATGTGTCTGGAAGTGACGTAAGACTGATGCAGTTGTGTTATATATATATACAAAAGGAATATTCTTTCCCCGATTTTGCAACATTTTTCATTGATGGCTCCTGTTGGTCGTAGCGTGATGTTATATGACCTTCCTTGATGAATGGGCTATCCAACACTAAAAGATTTTTTCAATTCGAACCAGAAGTTCCTGAGATTAGCGCGTTCAACCAAACAAACAAACTTTTCAGCTTTATGTATAGATTCTGTATGAACTCTTAATAAAGTGGCCACATTTAGTGTAATGTTCTAATGAGTTTTCTAGTGGCCTAATTGTCAATCCTTTCCAATATCCTGTTTTTGTGCTTACTAGAGTGTATCCACAGTAAAAAAAAAACTTGAGACACTGTACCTAAACACGGCCGTGTGATGGCACGCTTGGCACAGAGTATACTATGACAATCACACGTATGGTATGGACACGATCGGGTCGCAACACTACGATTGGGCCTCATCATCATCATCAACAGCCTTTACTAGTCCACTGCTGGACATAGGCCTTTTCTTAGAAAGGAGGTTTTGGCCTACTACACCACGCTGGCCAGACGGGTTGGTATAGGGTTTGTGTCAAATTTTCCTTCTCTCTGCAGTGCTGTTGTCCTGCGTAGTTTGCTCCCCTAGTCGCCTCTTACGACACCCACGGGATGAATAGGGGTGGTGACACTCTGTATTCTTACTCCGTCACCACACGGAAGGGCCTATAGGCGCAGAAAGCCTGCGGCAACACCGGGGATAAGGCCTGGCTAGCTCCTGGCTAAGATTATCCGAAGGGATTTTCCACACCGTCATCAAAAGAAAATTGTAATCAGAGCTGATAAATTTACTCATATATTACTGAATATCGTGTATGCATGTTATAGATAAATTATAGTCGGACACAGAACAAATCAGGATTAACAGTCAATATTATTAAACATTAGACCAACAGGCCCGACGAAATAGCAAAGACGCGTACTAATTACCGTTTCTAGATTGCTTCTGAGCTTTAGAATTTGTCTGGCAGAACTGACGGTATTCTGGGCCGTGGAAGATTCTTCTTAAGAATGATCTAGCGTCGAGCAGACAATTCCACTCTGTGGATACGGTGATACTTGTTTCCGTGCTGCGACATATTCCATAGTACAATAATCATTTACTAAAGTAACTACCATAGGTGGCCA